AGTTCCCTCAGGACCCGTGGATGGATCTCATCGGGTCCCATGGACTTGTGCACCTTCAGGTGCCTTAGATGGTCTCGAACCTGATGTTCTCCCACAGTGGGCGGCTCTTCATTCTCCCAGTCCCCGCCTTTGCCTTCTGCAGCTTGGGTGGTGAGGCTCGAGCACTTGCCAGTGAAGACTGAGGCAAAAAAGTCATTGAGTACCTCCGCCTTCTCCGTGTCTTGGGTAACCAGGTCTCCCATTTCATTCCGGAGAGGGCCCACATTTTCCCTTGTCTTCCTTTTATCCCCGGTGTACCTATGGAATCTTTTCTTGTTGCCCTTGATGTCCCTGGCCAGATTTAATTCTATCAGGGCTTTAGCTTTCCTAACCTGATCCCTGGCTGCTCAGACAATTTCTTTGTATTCCTCCCATGCTACCTGTCCCTGCTTCCACCCTCTGTAGGGTGGAAGAAATACATACTTAAATATAAAGAAATACAAGAAGAATATACTTAAACTGGGAGACAGTCCAGCATTATCCCATTTTTCTCAGAGTTGTCTGAAAGGAAATGCAGTTTTCCTGTTAAGAATGGTTACAGGGAAAGGAAAATATAAGTCTAAATAACACCTGTTTCTAAAAAAAAAAAATCAATCAAGCCACAAAGTTAAGCTCATGCAGAATTGTATACAGACATTCTTATTTTGGTTGAAACACAAGTTTAGTATCACCTACTTTTAATGACTGCAATGTCTAAAGTAGCGTGTGTTGTTTTTTGGCCATCTGTATGAGATCAACGGGTATCCAATGTTAGTAGGACATGTGCAGTAGTTTCAGCTTTGAGGAAGAATGTGTGTTGGGATTTTAAAAAAATAATCACAGTTTCTTACTGAATGCCAAAAAACAGAAATACAAATATTTATATTCAAAATAATCAGTGGGATATTTTTTTCATTCTGAAAGAAGCATGCTCAGAAAGACTTGCATTCTGAATCCCTTAATCCAGAGGAGGTTTTGGTAGTCTGTGGACAGAAAAGAGATTTCTAGAGCTAGCTAGAAGAAAGGCCATGAGAAGGTGTCGGTGTTCTCGGAAAAGACTGATGAACTTTATCGTGGAACGATGTGTAGTGGGACGTTCCAGTAATTCCTGCCCTCCCTCTGCTCTTCAGGCTGGACTTCACAGACTAACTACAACCCCTTGCTGAATCGTCTCCTCAGTTGCTGAGTGATGGTGCATCTTGGAATATGTACTCTAGAGAAGTCTCTCATAACTTGTGTAAATGTCCCATTTTCTGACACTTCTGAAGACACCATAGTGCTATTTTCAAACAGAATTTTATTCTGTTTTCAGATGTTTCAGATTTTTGACAAAACCGGGTCGCAGCAGAAGGCAGGCGTTTTTCACTATTTTTGGTTAAAAACTGAAGTTATCCAAAGATAGCAACAACAATTTTTTTTAGGGGAGGGGGAATAGGAAAATTCAACCCTGCAATTCCCTTGTGTTATTCTAATCTGTACTGATAGCAAAGCCCTTCAGCAAACTTGAGATAAAATCTAATTTCACTGAAATGTTTGTTTTGGGAATCAAGTTCAAATTTTGATTTGCCAAAATTCAGTTATAATGATTAAGTTGTTATAGCTCAGCCATTAACGGGGGTGACTTAGGATTAGCTTTCTTCTTCCTTTACTGTCTGACATCACTTTAGCTTGTCCCACTCCCTTCCAAAATCTGTTGTCAGTAATTTTCACTTCTGTCATTTATTGTATAGCACTTAAAATCTAGATAATTCTTTCTGCTCTCCTCAGAAATACTGACACACGTAATCTGAGATTGATTATGTGTTTCCTAGGTTATACAAGGTGAGATTCAAATGACTAGTTTAGGCCTCTGTTGGGTCCCTGCTTATTTGTGCTGGCTCTCAGATTCCCCAAACCGACACACCTGGAAACATAAATGTGTCCTTCTGAGAGCACAGAGAAACTTTGGTTCTTTTTTTTTCTTTTTCTTTTTTTTTCCCCATTCTTGCTTTTCATTCTAAGTGCACGTTGCAGATAGTTCTTACTCACAGGAAACCTGTTGGTATTGTATATTAAAATTGCTGTATTGCATTTATCAGATGCTTTGTACATTAGATGGATTTTTTTTTAATAAGATTACTAATAAGTATTATTCACAGACACTGGCGGAGAAGTTTACCTGCATTACTTAAAAATAGTTAAAATAAAAGTATATAAGACATCATGCCAGTAGGTCCCAAATAGGGCTTTTTTCCTAATCCAGCATACTTAAAATAGTTAAATATGTTTGAATGATATATTACTAGAAGTAGTATCGCGCCTTCTGGCCATATTTTGAGAGGAAGAGAAAGGAGGTTTTGTTTTGTTTTCTTTACCTAAAAGAGGAAAAAATTAAGAGAATCTTGAAAAGGGGAGTAGTCTTGACCATTATCAAGAGCACGAGTTGGGAAACTGAGTTTTGTCTTTGTCATTTGCAGGAGTGACAGAGCTCGCTGGATTACAGCGCTTGGACAGGACAGAGACAGGCAGAAAACAGACAGGACAAGTAAGTTACAACTAACAAGATTTCCGAGAGCTTTGACACGAGAATGGAAATGCACTGCCCCTTAGTGGGGACGTGAGCAAGTGTAGACTACAAATACCCGTAGAAGTTTTCTTTTCCTGGGCTCTGTTGCTTTAGCGTATGTGAAGTTACCATCTCTTCCTGTGCCCAGGGGCTTCTTTGAGGATTTCTGTTTCGCACAGTAATTTCCGTTTGCGTTCATTTAACACTGGTTTGGTCAGCTGTTTCAATCCGTTAGCAAAAGTGCAAAGCCCCTTCCCTTGTATGTTTATCCCAAGTTTGTTTGTGTGTAATTGCTCAGGTAGGAAGCCATTTGCATAATTTGCTGCCTCCTTTGGAGTTTTTTTGGGGGGTGTATACTCTAAGATGGAAATTTTTAAAATAAGTTGTATATATATTTTAATAAAGGGTTCTGTGTTACGTGAATTGTTTAATTCAGCCTGGCTTACTTCTTCCACAGCTTTGACTCAGGTAGAGATCATCAGAACCTACACAGCAAAGCAGTCAGATGAACTGTCTCTTCAAGTTGCTGATGTTGTTTTGGTTTATCAAAAAGTAAATGATGGTGAGTGAGAATTTTGCTGTTAGTAACCATCTGTCATCACTGCAGGTGAATCCAGCTAGAAAAATTTGTTTCCTAATAGCATTGGCCGTACAATGAATAAAGGTTTAGCTTCCAAGAAAAACTTGAGCATTTTGGTTCAGGTTTCTAAAGGACAGCCTCTGTTTAGGCAACAGATGTTCAAAGTAACTCATTGCCTATCATAATTTGTGTAGGTAAATAGCTGCAGAAAGTATGTGCTGGTTGGTTTTGACATGTGAAATGTCCACAAATAAGAAATTGAATTCTGCCTAAAAACATGGAGCTCGGACATTTTAGTGAGTGAGCACCAGGTTTGTCTGAGTAAGAGAAACAGACACGTTATTAGTCATGTCACATACTGTGCTTCACTGCCTGTTAAGCGTAGGGTCTAGCACAGTGTTTTTGCTTAAGTTTTCCGTAGCATCAAGTACCCTGAGATCAAAATTGATTCTTGCCTGGACGTGCAGGTGATTCTACTAATATCTCGTGATATTAGTGCTGACTCAGTGACACTTGAAGGTGTCGGCACGTGAAGTACTAAGTCCTAACTTAACGATGTTACTCAATATTACATATGAAATCAAACATCCTATTGGTTGTGCTGCATTGCTTTCTTGAGATTGCAGTTATATTATACTCTTTATATTATTTCAAACAATATATTTGAATTACAATATAAAAAATGTATTACACTGGTTTCATATAATACTTATTTTTACATACTTTTTTGTTCCTA